TCGACCTAACCTAAACTGGATACCAGGATGTATGTGTAACGCTGACCACATTACCGAGCTAGTGCCGACTGGTCTGTAAAAATATGGGTGATCTTTCCATATTCTCGATTCTCTTCCCATATTTCCGATGCTCTTCCCATATGTCTGATGCGCTTTAGGGCGTTAAAAGTGATCTTTTCACTTTTTTACTACACTAAAAATGTTATGTAGTAAGGATCGTCAGCTCGGATGAGAAACTTGTTGTCAAATGGCCAGGTGGAGTACAGAGGCCAGTGGTGCACACGTGATAACGAACGGATGTGATTCCTAATGCAAAGTACATGAAGCATCGTTTGTTGGAGGTCGAGACTTGGGTGAAGAATTCATGGGATCAAATCATCGACAATTTTGTTACTAAAGCATTGCTAGAAGGCTACATGGAGATGAAATGTTGAGTTAAGGAAATCTTTATTGCTGGACATGAAAGACTGACGCCAGATGGCTCTACGGGAAATGGAATCTCACGAGATTCAGGCCAGAATTCAAGATTTGGAGAGTTATGACGATGTTCCAAAAAGAGAATGCTGTGACTGTTTTTGAATAAATGAAAAGTGTTCTGCATAAATAATGTAGATTTCTTTCGGTTCCTAATATTTTTTAGGTGTCACATCACGCTGGGTTACGAGATTTGGTAGTGAATTCCTAGGGATTCCTAGAGGTTTCCCAGGACAGTACTATGTTTAAGGGGGTGGGGGGCGGTTCAAGAGTTTAGGGCTAAGGCTACTGTTACATGAGTAGCGACTACTACTAGGCCACACTCTCCCCTCCCCCTGATATTATATGGGACGTTGTGGGGATTTCCCTAGACAATCGTGTAGTCCATCGTGATATGGTGACTAAAAATCAAAGAATCTTTTTTTTCTGATAACAATACATCCCTCGAAAAAAGCCCTTACCCCCCCCCCCCCCCTTTTCATTTTTGGTAGCAGATGATAATGTTAGACAGAATCTTATCTTCAAGGTAACAAGGTTTTTAGTCTGTAATGTAAAATTTCATTCTGCTATAAATTGCTATAAACATAGTCTTTGTGCTCATACTGACTAAAGTTCTGGTAGTATTTGCTTTATACAGACTATGGCAAGTACTCTCTTCCTTTGCATGCTCAAACTAAGAACACATGGTAAGACTTTACTTTTCTATAGAAGCAGTGTTAACGGGGCTTGTATTTGACTTGCCTGTAGACGGTCTCAGAATGTTGCTGAACTGGCGTCTAAAGTTGGTATTCAGTTGAATGTAAACAACAAAGCTGGCACTACACCCCAAAGTACCAAACATGTAAGCCAAAGCCCACAACAGTACGTTGAAGTTTCCCTGATCACCTGTATGCACACCTGGGAAAGTATAGTACACTGTCGTGGATATCATCTTTGGAACATTGCAACATGTCAGCGTTATCGCCAAGACCATCACAACTTTGACTAGTCTTCTTTCTCGATTAGATAAATTTGAAGAGTCTTTAGAATAACCTGCATCAGTTGTCCCTTTACATTCTACTCTAGCACTACGCCTGACTCTGGAAGAGACTTCTAATGAATAGCCCATCCATAAAGCACACACGATCACTACAGCCTGAGAGATAAACCACAAGGAAAGTCCGGCAGAAAGGTCGAGAATTAATTCCACTAGAATTAATTCAGGATTAACGATTTTCCTAACCACACTTCTTTCTGATATTCCCTTAGTCGTGTTTCCTGACGGTAATATAGTTTCTATCCATTTTATTCTGGGGTAAAGATAAACAGGAACATGCATACCGATGTATAAAATGTAGATAGTTACTGTGGCTGCAACACAACGAAATCTTGTGAAGACCTGCTTGACTGTAAACGGAGAAACCACACAGTAACATCTCTCTATAGATATCATAGCTGTTATCCAGCAAGAGATCTCGTAGACAAAGCTTATAGCCCACCCTAAATATCGGTCAATACCAATGTTCATACACACAAAGCCAGTAACGAAACAGAGGCAGCTTGCAAGCTGGACACCCGTAACTAGAACATCAGTCAAAGAGAGTGAAAAGAGACCAACACTCATGCTGTCTTTGAGGCCCAGTTTTACAAAGATGATCATGTTGATGATGTTGGTGACAATGCCAGCAATTGAGATAATAAAACGAGCGACAATGTTTAGAGAGATTCGAATGTATATCAAGGCATCGTCGCTGATTACCTGAGACATGTCCGCCATGACCGTACTAACTTCAGAACACTGCTGCTGAGCAGCAGCGCTGTCACAGGACATTGTTGACAAATGTCTGCTAGCTATTGGAATAACAACGAGTTCTCATTCGTGGCTTTCAAACAGCAGTGTTCGACGGTGGTACAATGGAAGACATTGGGACCTCACCACGTAGTATTACTAGTCTGCAAACTTTACTCATACCAACTGCAGTCAGCCTGGTTTAGAGAAGGGAAAACAATTACATTAGCAAAAAGTAATGATCTGCCCGCATTTGAAAACAAAACTGAATATAATCAGGAGCAGTTTTCAAAATAATTTTCTATTCCCTTTTTACTTGTTATCTGCAACGACATCGTAGAACATCGGTCCGATCCATACGTGCTACGTCCTCCAATGTAGCAGCCACATCTGTGTCTGTATGCTCACCGTACTCAGTAGGAGTCGGCTGACACAGCTTCTTTCTCTTTCCTGCAATTATTTTCTGCATACCTGTCCTCGTGTGAGACCCATTTCCAACAGCGTTTCATCGTCTCGGACTCGTTTGTTTTAGCGTCTGGAGCACACAGCGCTTTCAGTCTGTCTGCCCTGTCTACATTTCTTCCTCCACTAACTACTGCAGGCGCTGACAGTTTGTCAGCTTTGTTATTTCCTTTCAAACTGACATGTCCTGTCGTGTACAAACAACATTTTTCTTAAGGCAGCACTTATCGATGCTGACAACCGATTCTAATCGGAGTTTGCCTGTTTGGAATTTACGATTTCATGCTAGGAGCAGCTGGTCGAGTGGTTACATCGCTGCGCACTCAGATGGACGTTTTTCTGTCAGTTAAGGAAATTAACAACCTATCCTAAATATGTATCTGTCTGCCCTAACCATACGCACCCCCCCCCCCCCCCGTCTTAACACCCCCCCCCCCACCAACAGCCCCATCTATGACAACGGCCCTAAAACTTGGTACGATAGGCAATAACCATTTTAGCAGTAAATCTTCATGTGCATATCAAATTTGGGTTTACAAAATTTTTCATTCATATAATCTTTTGATTAGGAAAAGAAAAATTAGGAACTCTGCGATGAAACAAAAGCTGACGAACTCGGACATCGAAGCATATTTTAACTAGCCCAATGTTTTAAATACTGCAGACAAATTGAATCTTGGTGACTGATGACGTCATTGTAATACCATTCCACTTTATTCCTAAGGTTACCAATTGTCTAATTAGTAAAAGTGGCTGCAGTTGACTAGGTATCATTTCCCGGCCTGTATTTCCTCAGACCTCTTGGGAGAAGTTTCACCCTCCCGACAACAATTTCTTGCAGTATGACAGTGAGGTCGTAGACCACGAGGCAGACCAAGAAGAACATGGAGAGATAATATCCAGACAGAATGGCAAACACTCAGTGTCACCAAATGGAAAGAGAATGCCAGTCAGAGAGATGAATGGAGGCGGGTTGGTTAGTGAACGTTACACTCGCCGCCTTTACATAAACAAATGGCTTGAATCATTACAGAAGTCCACTGTGCGTGGAGTCACCTTTATTTTTGTTCCGGGACACGCGGGCGTCGATGGAAATGAAAGAGCTGACAGGTTGGCTGGATCCGCTATCACTACCGACGGTCGGCCTATGGATCATGCTGATATTATCAATGCCCTCAGAGAAATGGGAAGGATAGGGGACTTTGGTGGCAGTGAATCCACATCACTCGCCAGAATGGCAGACTTGGGAATTAAGATCGGCACAGCAAAAAACGAGACGCACACCGGACACGTCAGAAGACTTGTTAATCAACATAGAACTGGTACTATTAGCCATCGGACGTTGGGGTTCATACTGAGGGGAGGATCTGAGCACCTATGGACATGTCCGGAGTGCAATGACGATAACCCAACTAACTAACTAACTAACTAACTAACTAACTAACTAACTAACTAACTAACTAACTAACTAACTAACTAACTAACTAACTAACTAACTAACTAACTAACTAACTAACTAACTAACATAAACAAATATCAAATAGTGCCAATTTCAAGTTTGGCTTATATGGGAGCCAAGGTCGATTAAAAAAATATCCAGGACGGGGGTTGACGTCTATATTTCACGGACCGGCAAACGAACTTGTAGCCAACACACTACTGCGACTGCCTCCTGCCTATGTGGCTACAAAACTACAGCCACAGCCTCTTCCCTATGTAGTCACCACACTACCGCAACTGCTCTTCCCTATGTAGCCTACTTACTACCACAACTGCATCTTCCCTACGTAGCCATCAGACTACCGCAACTTCCTCTAAAATATGTAGCCAACACACTACCGCGACTGCCTCTTCCCTATGTAGCCAAAGCACAACCGAGACTGTCTCTTCCCTATGTAGCCACCACACCACTGGCACTACATCTTCCCTATGTAGCCAAATCAATACGGTCACTGCATCTTCCCTATGTAGCCATTACACTACCACGACTGCCTCTTACACGTGTAGCCACCACACAACAGTGACTGCCTCTTACACATGTAGCCACCACACTACCACAAATGTCTCTTATATATGTAGCCAACACACTACCGCTACTGCATCTTCTATATGTAGCCCCTCTTACATATGTAACCACCAAACTATCATGACTGCCTCCTGCCTATGTAGTCACCACACTACCGCGACTGCCTCTTTCCTATGTAGCTAACCCACTACCACCATGGAATCTTCCTTATGTAGCCACAAACTACATCGACTGCCTCCTGCCTATCTAGCCACTATACTACAGCCACTGCATCTTCCATATGTAGCAAAAACACTACTGCGACTGCCTCTTACATATGTAGCCACTGCACCACTGCCCCTGCCTCTTGCCTATGTAGCCACTGCACTAACACGACTGCCTCTTTCCGACGTAGCCACCACCCTACCGCGAATACCTCTTCCCTGTGAATCCACCACATTACCGCAACTGCCTCTTCCCTGTGTAGCCATCACACTACCGCGACTGCCTCTTCCCTATGTAGCCACCACACTACGGTGACTGCCTCTTCCCTATGTAGCCACCACACTACCGCGACTGCCTCTTCCCTATGTAGCCACCACACTACGGTGACTGCCTCTTTCGTATGTATCCACCACACTACCGCAACTGCCTCTTCCCTGTGTAGCCATCACACTACCGCGACTGCCTCTTACCTAAATAGCCACCACACTACCGCGACTGCCTCTTCCCTGTGTAGCCATCACACTACCGCGACTGCCTCTTACCTAAATAGCCACCACACTACCGCGACTGCCTCTTCCCTGTGTAGCCATCACACTACCGCGACTGCCTCTTACCTGTGTATCCACCACACTACCGCGACTGCCTTTTCCCTGTGTAGCCACCACACTACGGCGACTGCCTCTTTCCTATGTAGTCACCAACCACCATCACTACATCTTCCATATGTAGCCAATTTAATATACCGCGACTGTATCTTCCCTATGTTGGCAACACACTACCGCAAATACTTCTTCCCTATGTAGCTGTAACAATACCGTGGATGCCTCTTTCCTATATAGCCAAGATATCACTGCTCTGTCAGCCTTTTACCTACGCAGCCACCACCCTACCGCCCGTCTCTTACCTGGGTAGCCACCACACTACCACGACTGTCTCTTACCTGTGTAGCCATCATACTTCCGCCGCTGCCTCTTCCCTATGTAGCCACCATACTACCGCAACTACCTCTTCCATATGTAGCCACCACAGTATCGCAATTTCCTCTTTCCTACGTAGAAGATACTTAATTTTTCATTGTAACTTCAGCAAAAATATTAATTAAATGCTGTAGTTTATTTATGTATCCTGTTCGTCGTCTGTAAACTCCGACAAAAGTTCTAATTGTTAGTCCACTTGTGGATTTTAGTCCTGATTCAAAATCTGTGTTTTGCACACCTGTCTTACAAATCTCTTTTATTATATGCAGACTGCTGGTTCATTTCTTCTCATGAGATGCACACTCCGATTTCGAAAGAAACACTACTACGTAGTCGATACTCCTCATCCCACCCCCAGCACAATGGGACCCGGAACATTCGCAGGGATGTAACAGTTTAGAGTGATATCATTATACTTAGTTCCTGTAGCGATTTCAAAATTAATTTACTGAAAACTGATTTTCTATTTATAAAATTCCATTTATAGGCACGTCGCTTGAGAACCTAGTTATAATATTTACCTAATTCTGAGTCAACAAAAATGTCCAAATACTGGTGGATTTGAAATCATTATGTGACGAAATAATTGCCTGCTGTCGTCTGTATATGTTGACTCAGTTGATTTTTTTTTCAGTCGCTGAACTCATGTAAGACACCTTGTTATGTATAAAGCTATAATAACAGAATAAATACACAAAGCGGATAAGAAACACACCGAACGTACAGACAATACAAATAACGATTACATTTAGTGTTGATTTAGTTGTTCCTGGCATGATCAAAGCAACGGTCACATTTCCTCTGCCATAATTACCCTGCAATCACAGTCAAGCCATTGTGACAGTAATTATCTTCGCTGAAGAAATATATGGTAAGGTAGTCTTTAACATTTTAATAATTCACTAAAAAGTTTGTTTACATAGTCAACTTGTTTCACCTACTGAATTATTTATTTATACACTGACTGATTATATCGCGCCCACAGTTTTTATTTTTTTTAGTATCCAGAAACCATGAGTTGTTAACCCTTAGCCTGGGTATTATGGATTTTGCAACCCTTAGGCCTTGATTCCATGATACATACCGTAAATCTGAGAGAAATGTGGCTTTTCTGCCTACCTCCTGGCGTAAACCCGGACCACAAGGAGTTCGTCACCGGGTCACCGCGCAGTCCGGTTTAGCCAACTACGCTGGAGAGCTGGACCGTTAACAGGGTTAAATGTCATTATACTCAGCCATTTCGACCAATCAGAAGCTGTCTTCTGGATGATGGTCGGCTGCAATGGATCTCCAACATGTTCTGTCTCTTGTCTTGATACGATTATAATATTTAGTTTCGTCCTTTTTAGGATGCGATTTTTTGCTTTTTGAAG